TATTTACAGATGCAATGGGCAGTATTTGAATTAGCTACCAGAGGAGCATCTGCATTTAGGCCTTGGAGTGCTACTGCTTCTCGCAAACATAGAGACAGGTAATTAATAATTGAACAGGTAATTAATAATTGATTAAAAAAAAGAATCATTATCTGTCACTGTAATTATATCTTTCTATGTTTATATCTATAGCTCTCCCATGGTACCATCGTATCTCAGTCGTGGTCCACCTGTACTGCAACATCCGGAACGCGTTGTGCCTCTATCTGAGTGCGAAAGATTTGAGCCACATTTTCAACCGAACGTTGCTTTAGCACCAATACCGGCTCCTGCCATACCATCTATAGCTCCTCCTGTTCATCATCAACGACATCACCAAGAACATCGTCATCATAGTCAACGTCCACAAAGTCCGAATGAAAAGCAGCAAGAGCTCGTACCGAAACAAGAGTTTGCCGTGAAACTTGAAAAATCGTCTCCTGGGCCGGCTCCCTCTGGTGGCACGGTCTCCTATCCTCTCTTCCCAACATGCACGACGGAGAACGATCGAAAGGAGACTCAAGAAAAAAGAACAATCGTTGAAAAAGTTGGCGAGGAGGAGGAAAGTGCCGCCGTAACTTCTTCGACCGTGAGCGTTGATCCGCCAGCGGCAGAAGTGGGCACGTCCTCTCCTGAAAGTGATTCAGATTCTGAAGGAACCGCGGCCATGGATTTGGAGGAACGATTGATAGCACTGGACGTTCCGCAGGATGTTTTGGAGCTTGTTCGACGTCTTGCTTCCGAAAACGCACAGTTAAGACGACATCGGCGCTCGGATGCACGAAAAATCTCGAGGCTACGTAGTCAACTGCAAATGCAACATTTACAATCTACCAATGATAGTGTCAAAAAGGAAGAAGTAGGAAACGCGAGTGTAGCGGATAGTACCGAAGGCACTGAAGAAACCGAAGTCTCTTTACGTTCGAACGACAATGAGCCCGAATCGGCAGTCCAACCGGTTAGTAATAATTAGAATCGATCCTTAGAAATTTTTTAATTGTTTAATGATGACCGTTCTGCGATTATTGCGACGCTTGTCATTCGGCCAGACAAGCGTTCTCATTCAATTTAGTATTAGATATACTAACAATAATATGATTCTAAAAACGATTCGAAATTGTCTAGTTTATGTGATATGCGAGAAGCCTTTAATGTTATTACGGTTAATTTGAAATTCTTAATGTAAGTATACTTCATTGTCGATTTTAATTATAATTCAATGTAGATACTGTATTATATGAAAAAGAAAAGAAAAGAAAAAAAAAGGAAAAAAGAAAGAAAATATTAAATAGATTGGAAAAATTTACCATGCCCGCGTAAACGATAACGTTTAATGATTATTAAGTAAATATTTTGTGCATATTAAATATGCATGAAATAGTTTAAAGAAAGAAAAAAAAAGTTTTTATGATCGTACGTTTGGTCGATCGGACGAACAGGAAAGAGATTAAATTAATTTCCATTAACTTCTTGTAGTCATGATTGCATAATGTAAATATTATATTGTCTCATTATAAGTATATGTTAGTATAAAATATAACTCTATTATGCGAAATATTACAAAGTACAAAAAACCTAGGTGCTGTATTGTTACGCTAGGAATGCTCTAAGCATGGACCTAGGTGTGTTCCAGCAGCTCGTGATATGTCATAATAATAACGTCATTGGGTATGTTTTAGTCTAAATCTTGAGCGCGATCGCAATATCTTTTTCTTTAGTATGGAAAGGCTGAATTATCTACATTTCTACAAAGGCAATGATTTCGCTAGTAGGGATCATTGATATTTTTCAATACCAGAACACTTAAGCTACAAATAAAAGGAGTACATCACAGTCTCATTTCTCAATTAATTATTCAAGATCGCTATCCCTCTCCAAATCGCAAATATATATTGCTTTCTGGATTTTCTCTTTTTCAATGAAATTAGATAAAATCTATTTTATGCCAAAATATTTATATGTGATGTAGATTTGTTACCCTTTCTACTTTCTATATCTCATATGATATTCGTTTAATAAATACGTACATAGAGGAGGAGTATATAGAAGAATGATCGATTAATTTTATGTGCAATCCAAAATTGCTAAAGTGTATTGCCTAAGCTTTTGATACATATTGGTATTTATTTGGAGTATTGTATATACATATCATTTTACTTTATATTCGATGCATAAAACGATAAAGAAATCTGTTCAACAGACTTTTTATTACGAGTACTCCGACTCGCGAGACTCAACACACGAGTAGTTTGCTGACACAATACAATCGATATTGGGAAATCATTAAAAAAAAAAAAAAAACAGAAAAAAAAAGAAAAAAAAAACAAAAAAAAAGAAACAAAAAAAAACAAAAAAAAAATAAGAAAGAAAGAAAAAACCATCTTTATGAAAGGTATGTCCCATTCATTGAGCCAAACTGTACTATATAATATAAATTCTATACAGTGATGGGAGGGATGCTTTTTTTTAAAGTTTGTAGGTAGAAGTATATATATATATATATGGTACTAGATTAAAGACGTACCTAGGTGATATTAGACTAGGAAATTATCTAGATATGCATGTACATACATTGTATGTAGGAGACTTTTACATAATTCACACCTTCACATTCACGCATATAACGTTATCTAGTTTATTCTACGTTACGTGCCGTATATTATAGATCTTATCTGTTTGTTAAATACATAAAAAAAATTTGTAGTAGTACACAAAGTTACATTAACGATATAAACATTGTTGTATCGATGCATATGTATCAAAACATATGCGAACAACAACTTGATTCATTTTATATCGCGATTTACCAAATGTATATTTATACACAAGTACAAATGAAGAAATATACATTGGTATAATATCTTTTATGTACTTGTGTTCATATACTTCCCATCACTGGATACACATATAATCTATCGATTATCATTAGGCTTGTCAAATTTTACATATTTAAATTTATGTAATATAACAGAAAACAGTTTCCAATATTAATATGCAATCTATGCATATACAATCCTTTGGAGACTGCTCCGAAGATCTCTCATAAAAATGCTATGCTCTAATATATTAGGGATTAATTACATCGACATATTCACAATACAAGAATCTTTTTTGTATATCTCCATAACTGTTATCGTATTTGTAATTACATACATAATAATTGTCAACGCGCTACATCTAGATCACAAAGCATTAGATATTTACTTTTTCCAAATCATGTAACTCAAACAGATCTCACTTATTTTCAATGTAGTGGAAAAGGAATGATAGATTTTCAAAGCACTCTGATGTGACATTATACATAACAATCGATGATATAGAATAGGTATATTCATTACTGCATCTTATGTAACATTTGGTCAATATACATATATTATACATAAGCCACATTATATTATTACAATATTATAAGAATCCCATTTATGATAAAAAAAAAAAAAAAACATAATAGTCTACGTTTTTCATACACGCTCAGTTTATCATAGTTACCTAGAGTATGATATGAATAATACATAATACAAATCATATATACAACTCGGTTTTGAATACATTTGAGGACTATGTATATGAACAGTTTCATTAAATCATGTAACTGCCATGACATGAAGTGTATTTTAATTTCAAATGGAAATATATTATAAATAAACGCAATATCTATAATGCTTGCTTTTATTAAAATTTGTGCATTGTATTAAATGAAACGTGTATAAGTGAGAGTACTATGTATTTCGTTTATTGAATTAATATTCCATTCTTCTTATTCAGGATCATTGAACTCTAAGTCTATGGAAAAAAATTGTTTATGATAATAGTTGCGTGAAAATTATTATCTTTGTTGTTGTTATATGTTTAATATAGTATTCAAAACATAAAGTATAAGCTATTTGTTGCGATCTATATTATAGGTATATAATATTAAAGAAGATAAACTATTGAATAGAGAAATTAAGGTATTTGCAATGTGAACTTTCTATGCAATAATTAGTAGCCAAATTACGCACTGTAGTATGTATTACAGTACAGAAACTGCGATACTGTAAACAGTTTAGATTTTTCACATTTATCACAGCAATGTGATGTAGCATAATTGTGAAATGTTATCTGTTTTATGCGATATATAAGCAATTGTTATTACTTAATGTGCATACATATTATTGGCAGCAGTCTGTGACTACACGATAAGTTTTTTACTACATACTTTAACTGATCGTGACCCCATATAAATCTCTGGGCGTGGTTAACGCATCTTATAAATGTATTACCAGTGATTTAATTTACTAAAAATTTAAGTTATGTATTTTACTAATTTATAAATCAACATGTACATTCTCTTTCTTACATGCAATCAAGTAAAGACAAGGTAAATGCAAGTAGGAAATTGTCAATAGTTTATTTTCTTCGGTTATAACTTATTTATTTTTCTCAATAAAGAGTGAATCAGATTTATAATATAAGCATTACATTTCTTTTCAAACTATAAGGGTAACTAAATAGATTAGAGATTGATAGCACTTCACGATACTAAATATAATAATATTCTTAAGAAACAAAGAATGTCATGATACACGACAAAGTGCAAAGTAAAAGTACAAAATTTTACTTCTCATTCGAACTTTGTATACCTCAAAAATGAAAGATCACTTTTGAGTAGTTTATATCCTTATAGCCATAAGAATTTTGATAACACTTTAATGCGGGGGAAGAGTTATTATAGTGGTGTAGGAATCGGCCCCTCTTATCACATTTGTATTCCGATAAAGTTATCAACAATATTACAAGGTGACGCAAATCGAAAAATTTTATATATACTTATCGAAATCTTTACTCACATGTGTTGCGCGTTTCACGCATTTCCGTCGAGCGCATCATAACGAGAAAATCAGTTTGCAGTGTATATATATATATCCATATTGCACATCCATATATATATATATATATGTATATATATATATATGTATATATATATATATATATATATATATATATGTATATATGGATGTGCAACATGGATATATGTGTATATACATGCAGACACAATTGATCTATCGATCGACAAAATCACGACATATGTGACACAAGTACACTACATACACGCATACAACAAATTTAACAAACAAACACTCATACACATACACACACGCACACACACGCGTGAACATACGATTGCGGATCTTTAAATGTAAAACGTAAAGAACTGTTATAGGAAAAAAATCTTCTTATCTTCGCCAATTTTGTGTTACTTGAGAAAATAAAATACAATTTCGATAACATCAAAGAAATTCTTCCTCTGTTACTGTAATAATTTATTTACTATAATAATTTGTTAAAAATGAAGTCCTTATTGTAATCATATCGTATCATATTCTCATTGGTAGCAGACACAAAATAATGTGTAATTGTAAAAGAAGACGAAAAAAGAAAAAAAATTGAATAGTACAAAAAAAAAGTTTTTTTTTTATTTTTTCTTTTTTTTTTAACGAGAGAAAATATGTCTTCCTTTAATCGTGAAAGATGCACTTGGAAAATATCGTGGAAGAGAGAGAGAGAAAGAGAAAATGAAAGAGTACGCTTAGCGATTTAGAAAAATCAATCATAGATCCTACCTCGTGTGATCCTAAAGCGCCGTCTATCTGTGGGACATACTACCACCAACTTATGGATTTCATCAGGAGAATCAGAAGAAGGGGTCAGAACAGACAGGACAGAGAGTGGGACAGAGCCAGGAGGACAGGTCAAGCAATTGCAGGTGTCGCGTTGCACGCTCACGATTTCTACCTTTAACGTTGTATTAATTAAACATTTAAAAATTCATTCAGTTCGATGTATTCCTTCGATCAGTAAATTAATAAAGAGATTAACTTTGATTTCTTTATCTCATTAATATTTATCCCAGTGAACTCTGCGAAAAGGATTAATATTCGAAGAAAAGAGAAAGAGATCAATGTCCGCTTTGCTCTATCCGATCGCATTGCTGGTTCCATGAACTCAATGCAATTAACGATCGGTTATTTGGAAATGTAATTTTCTGCGTGTTCTGCGGTTGAACATAGAGGGATGGCTTTCTTATGTCCAGTACGCATACGTCGAGGGAAAAAAAAGAAACGTGAGTAAAGATAAGAAAAGGAACTTTTATCTTTTGGTGAACAAATGTCTTACAATTAGACGATCGTATCTTTAGGTAACAAAAAATGGTATTCACCTGTTGCATTGAATTTATTGTTTACGAATTTAACAAGATGTTTCTAAAACTAACTTGTATATAGGTATAATGTTAAAAAATTTTAACTGTGTGATCTATAATATATCGATTAATTTTAATATTTAACAATAGCTGAGATAATTTAATAATGTATAAGAATAAGTTTATATCCGTGAATTAGATTAATTTTATATTAATATCTTATTCAAAATTGTCAATGATATTCCATTCTCAAACACTAATTTATTATATTACTATCCTATATAGCTGGAATTCATAACTTTAACTTGGAAAAGGATTGCGTTGGTGCAGGAGGTACAGGACTTGGCGTAGGAACCAGAGCCCCATTACCACCTGGTCGTATAACAGGAAGTGCCAGTATAGAAACTTTAGTAAGAGTTGGTATAGAAAAGGAAAATGGACTTTCTCCGGATAGTAAAATGGTTATAGTTCATGACTTTACTCCATGCGTTGATGATGAGCTCCAAGTCAAAAGAGGACAAGTTAGAGTTTATATTATATTTTAAACCATTTTAACTCTCTTTATTTGATATTTTATTTGACTTTTTTTCTTCATTCAATTTAGGTTGTAAATGTATTATATAGAGAAAATGACTGGGTATATGTAATAGCAGCAGACACACGTATGGAAGGATTCGTACCACATTCTTACTGTGCACCTTATACGTCACAGTTAGCTGAATTAACTCTTGCTACTCTTATGAATAATGTCAAAAAAAAATTGCCTAGATCTAATGAGGGTGATGGTGATATCTCAAGTACAGGTCGTTCTCAAGCATTAGATGCACAACAAACTGATACAGGATCAGCATCAGATTGTGAAAGTTATACTCGCAATGTTGTAACTGCAGATATAAATGTTAATAGATCTAATATTACTCAATCACAAAATTCTATACAAACTATATCTTCTCAACCAGATGTGCATCCCTTTTTCAAGGTATATCCTTATAATAATCTAATCATAATATTAATTTAAAATAATTATTTAAATTAATTTGACTGTATATAAATTTTAATTTAATATATTTTTAATATAATATTAAGGATCCTTCAGCTGGAAGGTATATTGTGTTATATACATTTGTGGCAAGAGATGAAAATGATGTAAGCGTGGAAAGAGGAGAATTTGTGACAGTCCTCAATAGAGATGACCCTGACTGGTTTTGGGTGCTTAGACATTGCGATGGTAACGAAGGATTTGTACCATCTGGATTTGTTTATCCAGGACACGTACTTCATTCGTACGCGACAACAGGTACCGCTGCAACAACAACAACGTCTACGGAAACGCATACTTTAGGTTGGTTTACCTTTTATATATACATATAAATAACAAATTTTGGTGTATATATATATATATATATATATATATATATATATATATATTTATTTATTATTAAAATTACAATAGACACAAATTACTAGGTATAAAAGTAGCGAATCATTATTATGCAAAACACATATTTTTCGATCGCTCAAATTACTTTAAAATCCTAATTATATAATATTTATTTAAAAGAGACTGGTAATGGAAATATAACGGGAAGTGAACAATTACAACAGAAAAGTTTACGAGACTTCAGAGAAGAAACTCCTGGCACCGAATTAGTTGTACTTTATGATTATAAGGCGCAGGCGCCAGATGATTTGTCAGTAAGACGAGCCGACTGGATATATGCAGATTTGGGAAATCAAACGGTCGATGGTTGGCTTTGGGCGTATGCACCCAAAACCCGGAAATATGGTTTTATTCCTAAGGCATATGCCCGTCCTCCTGCTATGACCAGCTTGTGATACGTATAGCAATTTTGTATTCTTATCTTTTATATATATACATATGTATATATATGTGTATATATATATATATATATATATATATATATATATATGTATATATAATTTTTTTATATCAATACAGTATTTCTATATGGTGTTCTTGTTAAATCATATTCTTGTTATATCTCTCACAATAATGGAATATCGTAAACGAGCGTTCCCTCGTTATTAATGTGCATCACATTATGGATATCTAATATTTCAAATAATCTTATTGTTTCATTTAGCGATTGCTGTGGTAGATATTTTCCAATTATGAAAACGTGACTAATGAATGATAACGTTCACGTTGAGATTGGTACATCCGGAAGTAATATGACTGATCAAGCCTTCGTGAAGAACGATACAATCACCATTTAAAAAAACTTCTCGCGGTCGTTGAGCTGTCCTTAGTGAATTTATTGGACCCGTGTACGTTAATGATCGGACACTTTCAGTATCGATATTATCCATGGCCTGTTCAAAGAGCTTTTGTTCCTTTAACGTATATTTGACAATATCGTGAATAATGAATAGGTCAACGTACTTGAATACTACATCGGAGAATATTTGTGGCATTTCCGATATCCAATCCCGCGACCCAGACGATTATTATATTCTTCTCATATTGACCTTCTCCACGAGTATAAACCTCGTCAGAAGGTGAATAATGATTTATGGAGTTTAAGCGAGCAGCTAATAGCGGAAGAGGTAGACGATTCCGGTATTTAGGATTGATCTGATTACTATTGAATACTCTTGAAGCAGAATCTCTTGTAATAACATATAAATTCACGTTAAAGATACGTTCTACCGGTTAAGTCAAATTAAATAGAAGTGCTTGTTACTTAATCAAAATTGATTAAAGTTCATCGATGTTATAATTGTTATACTCACGATAATTTATCAGATACCAATAGAAGTGCTAAACATCGACTGGTATCATAAGAGAGTGCTTCGAAACTAATGATCAATGTGCTTTTCACACCAGATTCAACGCTCAGAATAGGTACTTCCGGATGATCAAAAAGGAAATGATGCGTAAGTGCCGAAAATGCAATGTTAACGTCGCAATCGATGCAAGGACAGCGTATCGGTCTACGAGAGTATTCCCACGTAGTCTGTCCATTAAATTTAAATTCGTTATTGCATCGATCTTGTTCGCTCTTCCGTATTATATTATAATAACTGTGTTGCTGATATCTGCCATCGCTTTGTTCCACATTAGAATCATTAGAATAAGAGGTGATCATCGATTCGGGTACTTCAACTTTACAAGTCATCGCTTTGTTCCCTCCTACAGATAGACATCGTGTTATTGTAAAGTTCAAGATTTTTTTTTTCCTTTATCTACCATATTTGGATATATATCGGTTCTTGTCGTTGTCGCAATTCGTTTGTACTTATTATTCTCAGATCATGAGTTTATAAAAGAAACAACGGTCATCGGTGCCACTGACGTAGCAGCACTTGACATGTTAAATTATAAACGTAATAAGAAGAATAGAGTTGGGTGAGAAAAAATTAAAAAAAAAATAATACGAGAGGATGGAATCAAAGATATCTGCGTTACGTGGCGTTGACCTGATTGAAAGGAAAAGTGTTCTATGCAACGACGACACAAGAGATGTCCTTGGGAAGAAAAAGAAGCTCGTTCAAAAGCAGCGTTCGTCTCATTTAAAGTTCTATCGGCAATGCTAAGATGACAAACGGAGCACAGACCAAGTCTCGTCTCCGTTTTAATCTTTGGATTCGCGTGAAGATTCGATACCATCTCCTTCTCTTCTTCTTTATCTTCTTCTTCCTCCTCCTCTTCGTATTCCTCTTCTTCCATCAACTCCATAGAAATCCTTCTGCTATCGTATGCCCTTTCGCTCGTCTGCAGCTGTTTGATGCATTTAACGTAATGCTGATAATCCATTTCCTTAGAAAAAGTATTATCGATTTAACTTGTCTGTGTGTTTCATTCGACAGTTTCAAAAGAGCTTAGCCATGAAATAGAAATGCATTGTGATTATATATACAAACACAAACGAACGCACACAAGTACATATTGAACTCCATATAATATGTCTCCTTAACGTATTTTGGGTGAAATACCTTTGAAAAAAAAATAAATCATATAAAAAATATATTCGTTTAAATTAATACGTATAGGAGGATAAATTTTCACGTTATATGATTCCCTGTATACATACATACATACATACATACATATATATATATACATGTATATATATATATATGTATATATATATATATGTATATATATTGAGAGAGAGAGAGAAAAAAAGAAAGAACTATGATCTCTTTCCCTCAATTTGCAATGACGTTTTCTTCAGTCACGTGCCTTTTGTTGATTTTTTATCGTTCGGTCGTCTGCCTCATTACCACGATGATCTACCATCCTCTCCATTTCTTCTGGAGATTTCTTAGGTCAATGTGTTTATCGTTCGGCACGATAACCCCTGGTTGATAATGCGTCACGTACCTTCGCTATACCAGCAATCGTACGACTGCAATCATTAAAGAAGAGTCGACTCGTTTTTCCGTTATCTGAAATATGTATATGTATTTGCTGTAAGTGGAAAGATTGTAAAATCAATCGGACGAAAATATTTGATTTTGCGAAATACAGAAACAATGATGTGCGTTCTAGCACAAGGAGACATTTCTTTTTATTTCTTTTATTATTTTTTTATTTTTTTTTATTTTATTTTCAACGTCCGAGCATTTTGCGAAAGCATTACGAAAGAACGTGTTATGGTTATTCGAAGATCAAACTTACTGGTTAAAGGTGAGGTCAGAGAAATGACCGAGGAATAATAAAATTGTATGACGTTAATCTTGTTAACCCCCGTTCAAAAAAGTTTGAAACGAAATTTGACGACGTTTTGAAGCAAGGCATCGTAAGCAAACCTTACGACAACAAGACGATGCATCAAGATATAATGATTGGTTTATATCGAGCGCAAGCGTTATTATAATGACCGTCTTTGCATTTATTGTTTCCTCTGTAATTTATTTTAATTTAATTTTCTATCCGTTAACCGGAAGGACCTTGATATATAGTATAGTTTCTTAATTACAATAGCGAGGCCATGTTGATGAAGAAACAAATTCCGGTGATTCCGGTAAGTCGATATGTCCATCCTGTAAGTTATATGGATAAATGATCGTACATTGTGAGCCATACTAATTTTCATAAAATACAAATTTTTCTCTCTGATTTCCATATTATTTAATCAAATATTACAAGTTATTATTATGATCGATCTATGATAGCTATCAACGACTGTGCATTAATAAGAGATCATTACTTGCTGAGAATATCTTTATTTTGCAGTCAAGTAATAATATTTTGTGACGTACGTAATACATAAATCATTGCTTAATAATATTTTATATGTAAATAAATAATTATAATGAAAGAATTGGAGAAATAGAATACGTTATTATAATATCTTAATATATAATGACGATTATATGCAGAATTGGAATTTTTTATATTTACTAAAATTTGCATATATTGCATCAATATAAAGAGATATTGTGTCTCAACGCAATACACTTTCATCGAGATATGTGTATTATTGTTGAAATAATCTAAATCATTACACAATGATTAAGATTAAATATGTATATATTAAAGTGATCTAAAATAATAATGTATAATATTAGATAAGCTATGCTCTATTTCATTTTACCATAATCTAATAATAGAATGTTATTTGTCTAAAACATATAATAAAGGTTATAAATAAATAATTAACAACAGATAGACTATATCGAGCTTAAAAATGTTTATCTAATTTCCGTGTATTATATTTGCATTATTTATTTTTAAAGATCCATTCTTTATGATTTGTAACTACATACAAATCTCTTTGATAATAACTATTTATCATCTGTTTTCATATAAAAGTTTATAATGCAATAAGATATATATCTAACTGATCTACTTTGGAGAGATTGAGAATTAAAATCTCTGCATTTAATCTTATAAAAGCAGACACTTGTACATTATTTCCCTGCATATATTGACAGAGTCAAATTTTATAATGCATTGAAAATAATTTTTGTTTTATCCATAGCGTTTCAAACAAAATAATATATAAGATAGGATGCATTATAATACATTTAAATTATATTAAATATAGTTTTATAACAATTATACGTTATTCAGATAATTTTTATGTCGAATTAATTTTAAAACTTAACTCTGACAATAATTACAGAAATTAATAATACTTTATAATGGAAACTTCAATCTTGATAGCTCTGCATTTAACTTAATAAGACAATTTACATTTTTTAATAATTTGCTTCTTTATCAACATGTCTAGATGGTATATCCATTATTTATTACCATCATAGCCAAGAGAGGAGTCTTTTTTTTAGAAACATAGGTGTTTATATATATATATATATATATATATATATATATATATATATATATATATATATATATATATATATATATATAAAAAAGAAATAAAAAGAAATAAAACAATAAAACTTTACATAACTTTACATAACTTTAAGATATTTTTTTCATTTATATTACTATAGGAAACCGAATTTTTAAAAACTAAAAATTTCTGATGTTTATTAAAAAATTTAAGATTATATGAACAATTTCTAAGTCGTAAATGACATTGTTCAATCTACGAAAATAAATAACTTTTATGCTATCCTGACTGACTCGATCTATCTAAAAAAAGCTAAATTTATCTGATCTAGTTATATAATATAAATTCAATATCATTTTACTAGTAAAATTACCATTAAATGGACTATTCAAATTTAATTTTCTAGCAAACAATTAACAATTTAGATACGGATCAAACATCATGCATGGTCCATATTATTAATGACAGGCTATGCAAGGCGCGCGATGTATGACAGTAGATACGAACATATAACTCAACGTCCTGCGTCACACTCAAAATAAATATGCACGCGTGAATATAATATACATCTATCTACAACACAATTCTAATGAGTTACATGAATATGCTATGAAGCTTGCAAAGTTTGTAATCTTTTACAAGAAGGTGTATCAATGTTTCTAGCTTTAATAAACATCTCTTGATCTTGAAAACTACGAGCCTTCCATAACAGTGCGTCTTCTACAAATAATAAGAGAATAATCGAGTTTTAATATATAATATTTTTATAATATAAATTCTATAATATATATATATATTCCATCCTAAGAACAGAACAAATTATGAGTATACATACTGTAATTTCTTTCCCTATAACATGCTTGTCTCAAGTTCAATAAAAATTCTTCCTGAACGGATATTTCTAATCTATGCAAACTGCCTTGATATTCGGTATGAAAATTTTCCTTGACATAATATGGTATATTCAATTGCTTGGTATTCCTTGCTATAGAATATTTGCTACAAAAAATTAATATGTTAATAGTTTGAAATAAATTTTACACAGTTCTTTTTCAGTCTCAAAATCATTTAATAAGAACTTATTCACGTGATAATTAATAATAAATTACTTACGCACTAGGATGTAGACTATATATAGGATCTGATATAAAAAAACTGCTCATCATAGATATCAATATTAACAACAAAAGAAGCAATGATTGGACAAATGTGGTATATCCATTTGCTTGCTGAAAGATTAATAGGTATTGATAATATTCTATATATAAATTATTAAATAACACTTATCAATCGATATGTCTTTTTCTTAATACCTGAGAATGAGCATTTTGAGCTTGTGCTTCTTGCTGTCTCATCCACCTACCACCTGTACGTCTCATATAAAATTCTTGCTGAGGTATTCCTCCACCAAAGAACATATTAAATAATTCTTCGGCTGTGATATCAGCTACATAATGTATTGTTTATTATTATTTATATTTAATAAAGTATTATTATTTATTATTATTATTTATTAAGTTATATTATTTAAAATGCAGTTAAAAATATTTTAATATGTATTTTTATTAAAATCTTTTAATATCTGATTACCTTCAAAACCTCGTGTGTAATTATAATGCGTATGATTCTGACGAGCTTGACTACTTTGTAGTCGTTCCTCTTCAGGACCATAAAGATCATATTGTTTCCGTTTTTCAACATCCGTAAGAATAGCAACAGCATTTCCAATGGCTTGATTTTGAAATTATATCATTTTTTATTTGATTATTTTTCTTAAATCATTAAAATTTTTCATAAGATGGTTTACCTTTAAATGATTCTGCAGCTCCTGGAGCTTTGTTTTTGTCAGGATGTAATTGAAGTGCCAACTTTTTATAAGCTTTTTTAATATCGCTATCTGTTGCATCTTTACTTACTCCCAAAATTTCATAATAATCTTTACATTTCTTAATTCTATAAATGTTATTTATAAGATTAAACAATGATAAACATGTCTGTGTTTAGGTTTATCAATACTTCTTTATGTATACAAATTTGCAATTTTTTAAAATTATCTTATGTATTGAATACAATACAATTATATATAAACATATATATACCTTTTTACAGCTTCAAGTTGATCTTTTGTATATTCAGTAGTAGCTTGAGCTTGAGAATTTTCCTTATTAACAGTATGTCTCTTTCTAATGGTAGGTTCTGATTCAGTTTTCACATTTTGTTTTAATAGAGATGTAACTTTTGTTAATAGATCTATGAAAATAATATATGCTTATACTATTAACAAGTTATCTGTTCTACAGAATACACAATGAGTTAATTATTTAATTTCATTTCAATCCAATACAATATGCCAATTATATGTATCATCGTAGAATAAAGAAATCCATGTTTCATATTTAAATTACAGTATTGATTATATTTCTAAATAATATCTGTAATTGGTACTAAGTAATTGTTTATACCAATACAAAGTTTGAAAGTGAAGTAATGAAATCTTATAGACAATTCTTCCTCTCACCTTCTGTTTTTTGCGTTGGATAAAGCTTTTGTGCTTTACGTATGAATTTTTCCGCATCTTCGAATTTTTTTTCACGCAAATAACGTTCAGCAAGTTCAATACATCTTTCTGCCTCATCTTTATTACCGTCCATGTTAGCCTTTTGCGCAAAGTGAGTGTAAGAGAGAATAAAATCAATCGAAATGACAAAGCAGAATAATAAACAAATTCGATCAAATTAATCAGATGACTTCCTCGACGTAATAATTTAATAAATTATATGATGAACAATGCGCAAGATAAGAGCCACGAATGAATTAACGAACGACGACAAAAAAACGTTCTCTTTTAGTTTACTGAAAATCTCGATTGTGACTGGACAACGTTTATAATATATCACGTGACGTGTACATATACCTGCGGTCATCAATGTCTCTGCAGAGATATTATTGGCTTGTCAAATTTTCACTATATAGGAATATTACCGAACATATTAATATTTTTTCATTATAGAATAGGTTCAAATAAGGATAATTTGAAATACGAAAAAGCTAAATTAAGCCGTATGAAGTAAAAATCTTCATCATCAGTAATTAATGACCAAAGATATATTTTACTTATTTTTTGTCATAAGGGTCGTTTTCCATTAAAAATACATTGTATGTTGGTAATAGTACTTTTTACTTTTCAATTTTTCTCTTCTTTAGAAAAATTAATTCGATTATTAGTTTATTCAATAGGAATTAAGACCACTATATATATAATTTACCACTATATATATATATATATATATATAATGGTAATATTTTTCTAATAATTGACGAATAATTTTTTTTCAAATTATTTAAACATTGTATTTACACTCGTAGTATATAATATATTGGAAAAAATGGTGTGCCTTCAAATCTTTATTGAATGACATATGAGATATATATATTTATCAAAAAATTAAATTAATATATATATATATATATTTCGAAACTTAAGCGTGCTTTAACATTTAAACTTTTTTTAACCCCACATAGCATATTAATAAGTTTATTTAATGCGATATTATTAATATTAATTTATGATTACATAACAATTATAAAGCTTTACTCGTAGAAAGATTTATTCTGTTTTTATGTATGTATGAAATATAGAAATTATACTATTTTATTAAATTCGTACAAATAATATGAATAAATGTGTAATCATTTATCAATGGGCAATTTTGGATTATTATTGTTTAATTGCATGAATAATATATTTTAATAGTTTAATATTTAGATTGTAATATTCTTGTTATATTATAAATAAATAACTGAAGATAAGTACAATCTTAATTTTTTTTATAATTTCTTATACGGTTATCATGTGTATGATGTACACATATATATTACTGTATTTGATATATATTTCCTTATCTAACAGACATATGAAGGTTGTTCGTTCATATAATAATTATCTGCAAAACGTACCAGTTCAGAAAAATACAAGAAATTAATATAATCTTTGCAAAGTAAGTAATTAATCAATTGTTAAAACTACTAATAATTTTATAAAAAAATTCTATCAAAAACATTTTTTATATAAAATATATAAAATTTTACTGAAGGTAAATAATTGATATTTTTATATAATTCAGATTTGCAAAATTAATATTAGAAGCAAATATGTACATATCTTAAGAGTTTATATTTCTAATTAGATGGCTACACGTTGGGGTATAATTAGTGCTGGAAAAATTTCACATGACTTTGTAACAGCTTTAGCAACATTACCCAAAGAAGAACATGAAGTAATTGGTGTTGCAGCACGAGATGTTTCAAGGGCACAAGCTTTTGCGACACTTCACAATATTAAAAATGCTTATGATAATTATGCAACATTAGCAAAAAATGAAGATATTGGTATATAGTCATATATTATTATACTTTAAAAAATGTTTATATAAAGAGTAATTATATAATTTTTATAATTGTAATATTTATCAGAGGTTGTATATATTGCAACATTGAATCCTCAACACTTTGAAACAGCAAAGTTAATGCTAGAGCATGGGAAACATGTTCTTTGTGAAAAACCATTAACAATGAATTTGAAGCAAACAACAGAATTAATAGAATTTGCAAAAAGTAAAAATCTTTTCCTCATGGAAGCAGTATGGAGTCGTTTTTTCCCAGTTTATGATGCTATTCAAAAAGAAATTTCATCTGGCAATATAGGAGAAATACATCAAGTTATCGTTCCATTTGGATTTAATTTAAAAAATGTTGAAAGACTCAAGTATGTAAATAGATATATTTTTTTATAATTTTAATAATATCCCTTTATAATTTATTGTTTCTATAAATATATTAAATAATTATAATAATCTAAAAAGATATTATGTAACTATGCATATTTTACATATTCTGTGTGATAATTTTAGTATGAAAAGCTTGGGTGGTGGTACTATATTGGATTTAGGTGTATATTGTTTGCAATTTGTTTGCATGGTTTTTGATAATGAAATGCCTCACACAATTAAAGCTGCTGGATTCTTAAATGAAGAAGGAATAGATATATCAACTTCTACAACTCTTTTATATAAAGGAAATCGTACTGCCACTATTCTAACACATAGTTCAGTAACTTTGCCTAATGAAGCTTATATCATCGGAACAAAAGGAACGATACGTGTACCAAATTTTTGGTGTCCACCTAAAGTATATTTGCCAAGTGGTACTGTGCATGTTTCCTTACCAGAAGTCAAGCACGAAATGAATTTCATAAATAGCGCAGGATTGTCTTATGAAGTTGCTGCAGTTCGTACTTGCCTTCAAAAAGGTATTCTATTGTTTTACCATAAACTCTCAATATAAAATTTTTTTTATAATTTAATAAATATAATTATTTGTACAGGTATGATAGAACACCCAAAAATGTCTCACAATACATCTATATTAATTGCAAAATTAGAAGATGAACTTAGAAAACAAATTGGTGTTATATACCCTGAAGACATTTAAATCATATATTTTATTACATATAAATGTAAATTGATACATAAATACATATAAAAATTATATATCATATTAAAAAATAATAAATTTTGATTTTTGTAAATTATATATTATAAATCATAATTATTATATGGGCAATTTTGGATTATTATTGTTTGATTGCATGAAGCCCATAATTTATTGAAGTATTTGATGACCAAGACCATTCGTTTTTTATTGGATTAAAAACTATCCCATGAATTAGTTTTGTCTTTAAACCACCTGATGGTTATATAAAAATATTTTATCAAAATAATGCAGCTAAGAATTTATAACTAAATTTAAATCTAAATTAACTAAATAATAAATTTAAATTTATATCTTACAAGTTTCTAAGAAACGTTGAACTTCCTCTGGCGAAATAAATTTGTTCCAATCATGTGTTCCAATTGGCAGATACTTCAATATATACTCTCCTGCAATAATTGCACCCAACCAAGATAGTAAAGTTTTATTTATAGTAGTAATAAACAGTGACCCTCCAGGTTTTATAACTGATGAACAAGACTAATAAAAATAAAAGACAGAAAGTATAAAGAAGCTTTTTTTTTATGGTGCTTAATTCATTTTATATTATAAGTACTTACTTTAAGAAATAATTGTTGATTAGATACATGTTCCAAAATTTCAGAAGCTACTACTGCATCATATTTCTCTGTATTTTCTTTTTCAAATTCTTCAATAGTAGTTTGAAGATAATTTAATCTTCCTGATAAATTGGAATCTAATAAAGCATGTTCCTTTGCAACATCTATCAATTCTAACGAATTATCTATTCCAGTTACTTCTGCTCCTATTCTAGCTAATGATTCAGAGAATATTCCTCCTCCACATCCAACATCAATAATCTTTGTTTCTTTTAAAGGTAAATTTGTATCATCTTTAATAATGCCCGTGTTAGCTAAGCCATCTCGTATAAACTGTATCCTAATAGGATTCATAATATGAAGAAGAGCTAAATGACCATTGGGATCCCACCATTTATTGTTTAATTTTCCAAAAAATTCTATTTCTTTTGAATCTACAGTAGATTCAATTGGTCTTACATTGTTTGTTACATACTTAGGTGTTTCTGATGAACTAAAAATATATTTATTATTAAAATAAATATTAAAGCATTTTAATTGAATAGATTATTATTTTCAACAAATTTAAATTTAATAGTGCTATTATTTGCTAATCATAAATTTCTTTTATTCTTAATTTAGCATAACCATTTTATACGTACTTGTTACGAGAAATAAATTTTCTATTCACAGTTCGTAACATTACAATTTTCAAGTTTCGAAACATTCTTCACTGCCTATTTTAAAAAATAATTAAATAACCTGTAAAAGCAATTTGTACATATATATATATATATATATATATATATATATATATATATATATATATATATATATATACATATATATATATACATATACATATATATATATATGTATATATGTATGTATATATTAATAAATTATTGAAAATAAAAAAATATATAAATACTAGTTCGAAGAAACTGTGTAGTTAAGTAATATAAAATATAATTTGATGTTTTATGAAAAAACAATTGATAATACAGTTTAACTTCAAATAATACTTTTCGAAAAATGTTTTTCCTTAAAAACTAGATGGTTATCAATAATTAGCATTAATAAATAATAATTTAGCTTGATAATGTTAAGCTAATATGATAAGCTTTTAATAATAATATTGGCTTTGTAAATAAAACGTATTTTTATAACGGCGAAACTTATAAATTTATACAGATTATTAACGAAATATATACGTTATTATGTACATTATGTTAAAATTATACTTGTCAAGACTGGATAAATAACCTCATATGTGAAATACAAATATTATCTTCATTATCACTTAATTTATTATATTAAATATGCTTACACCTTAGATCTGTAACCAAATCTTAATAATAATTATTTTTTTCCAAATAGTATCAGATATTCCTCCTCGAATAGGTAATATTCGACCACGATTGAGAGAAGTAGTAGGAATTAGTGCTTACTAAACAGTACAACTTTAATAACTTACTTTTCTAACTTTAGCTAGTTGTTAGTAAGTGTATTCTAATCTAAAATTATTTTTGTCTTGAAACAAAAATAATAATAATAATAATAAAAATTAATAATAAAAAAATTTTAACATTCGCCGGACGATATAAATATTTTAGTATGCGATTATGTTTAAATATTATTTATAGTAGATAAGGTGAGTTATATAAACATATTTTATGAAGTTTTCGTGGTGGGGATCTCTCAATGACCTTTAAGAACACTGTAGACCATTTTTCTACGAATATGAGAAGCCAAATATGATAATAGATTAAATTGGGTTGGCAACTAAGTGATTGCGGATTTTGTCGTTTCCTTCTTATTTGAAATCCGGCAATCGCTTAGTTACCAACCCAATAATTTAGGGAAATCTTCAGTTGATTTGTCTAATCAAATGACTGCTTATAGTTCACCATTGCGAAAAACTATAAAGTGGTATAGAAAATTGGCAATAGAGCTTTTGCTAAATACTTATGTTATAAATTCAATGGTGTTATACAAACAAGCAACTCGAAAAAATATTTCAATCACCGATTTTAGGATGAAGTTAGCGATGTATTTAGTGAAATGTTTTGATGATGAAGATTCCATTTCATCAAGAAATTGCGTACAGAAAAAACGTCGTCATGAGCTTAAAAGGGAATCGGGAATATGCGAAATGTAAGGGCGATTTTGCAAAGAGTGCTACGAAGAAAATTCAAAATAGCTAGAAAGAATGAGAGCAAAGAATTGCATTAAAAAAGTAGCGATATATTGTGCTGACTGTCCTAGTTCACCTTTTCTTTGCCTACCGTGTTTCAAATAATATGTATACAAATAATGTTATGTGTACAAATAATATGTATATTTTCCTTGTATTAATAAAATTATAATTACATATTCTGTACGGCATTAATTTCTTTAAACCACTACGGAATCAATGATATTATCTAAAAAATTTATTGGATCGATGTTTACCCTAATTATATATTTTCATTATTCATCGCGTCGCCGGTCACCGGTGACCTCCACGACGCTGTAGTCAAGTCGGGTGTCAGTCACCGGTGACCCATACAGCAGTCAACGTATTATAAATAATTGTTTCTTTATGAGCAAAGAGAATTTTTCGGCAGACCTATAATATATTTGCGCGCAAATTTTAATTATAAAATCTTATATCTTATTTTGAAATCCAAAGTCATAGGTTCAAATATTCAAATATTCTTTGTATATATATATATATATATATATATATATGTATAAAAATGACTTATATAAATATTTATTAGTTACAATTTTGTTTTTATCTTATAGATTAGGATACTAAATGAAATCATTATATATACGTTGAAAATTTACAATCACGATTTAAGATGTTCTCTTAAATCATCTGTTAAACCCCCTAAACCAATAGACGTGAAAAAATTAATAGCAAAACGTGTATTTTTTGGATTGTCCCTAGGAAATAATCCGCTAAATGCTTCTTGCAATGTTACATCTTTAACTCTTTGATTGAGTTTCGAAAGACCCATATATTCAGATAGTTCTTGGAATAATATTTTGATAAATATTCTATTTGAACTCGTAGTATCTTCTTCATTTAATTTTATACATGACAAAACTTCCCATGATATGGAATCGGTAAATAATAAATGAGCAAAAAATTTTGATACATTTCGTAACTTATTAGTATCTAATCGATGTATCGTATGATAAGAATCCTGAAATATTTGTTCAAATGGTGTCACATAAATTTTGTTAATGGCACAAAACCGTCCTGCTAAAAGTCCAAAGAACTTCTCATATGTGCGCATTTCTGCACAACAATCTAAGAACATATGGCAAAGCTCAATTTCTTGTCCTGGTTTTAGCTGCATTTTCATTAATTTATGAGCACATTCTTCAAAATCAAGTGAAGAATGTATAGTTAAGTAAATAGTTCTCCTAAGAGCAGTTAAATTAGTTTCTGTATTATCTACAATAACACCTTCTTTCTCCTCTGTAGTCTCTGCATTGCTATCTTCGTCTGAACTTTCTTCATCATCCTCACCAGCTTCAGAATCACTATCATCTGAACCAAGAATTTCCTTGCTTAATTGTTTATATTTTTCTTCATTAGCCACATAATCACTATCAAACTTAAAAACATTTAAAATATCTTGTGAATCTATTGCTTCATCCAATTGTATAAGATGCGTGAATTGATTTTCTTCTTCAACAAGATCTAATTCCTGGGGAACTGCTTGATGATCTTTGAAACCATCTTTTCGAATTTGAAACATGACTTCAATCATATATTGTACACGTTTATCTAATTGACCCTCGTGCAATATATTTCTCAACATTTCAAAAATGGCCTCAATACCTTTCCGAGATACTTCTGTTAATTTCATTCCACATTCCTTTAAGAATGCTATAGCAACTTCTACAGAATCATCCGTAGGTGTTTCTACAAGTAATGTTAGAATTTCTAAAGGTAAAATTTCATGTGCTACACGTTGATTTAAAAGATGTGCAACGAATGTTCCAGATGATATACAGAGAGGTTTGTCATTTCTACGAAAACCACGTTTGAACTGTATAATAAGACGTTTGAGTATAAGTTCTCCGATATTAGGAAACTTAGAATTAATAATGGCTGTTAATGCTGCATAGACAGGAGTAAAAGTTGGAGAAGCAGCTTGAGCTTGTATAATAGAACGAGCTAATAAACCTCTTCCTCTGACAATGTTTTCTCTTAAAAGCTCTCTTGTTATAAGGCCAATATTGCTAACATTAACTTTGTTAATACAACCATGAATAGATTTTTTAAGTGCCTCCCAAGCAATACGTTGATAAGCAGCACCAGACTTATCTGTAATATTTGCTTGCATCATACGTAGTTTGGCAGGTGGTATGTAAGCCCCTCCTGTTTTTGCTGTCAGAAGATCAACAGTTCTTTTCCGACTATTCGTCATTGTGTCTGTTGTATGCCTTTTTTCCGAATGTTTTTCTGATCGTTTTTCCGAATGCTTATCCGAATGTTTATCCGAATATTTATCTGAATATTTATCCGAATATTTATCCGAATGCCTATCAGACCGTCTATCCGAATGTCTTTCCGAATGTCTCTCCGAACGTCTTTCCGAACGTCTCTCTGAACGTCTTTCCAAATGCCTATCCGAATATCTTTCCGAACGTCTTTCCGAATATCTTTCCATGTTTTTTTCTTCTAATATTTGACTAAACCTCATAAATTTACACGTAACACCAAGCGAAACAAAAATTAACCAAAGATCATAAACAAACACACTGAAGAAAGCCCAACGTATCCCATCGATCTATTATAGCGCTATCTGTATTCTATATATCTAACTAAATTTTTAGACAATCTTTTAAATTTATGTTATATTATTAAACGAAACGTTATTTTTTTTTAGAAATATATTGCAATAATAATTACAAAATCTATAAATCTTATTTTCTCCTCACTTCGAATACATTGTTATATTTAGAACAGTATCAGCTATATTGATTAATTCTTAAATAAAAACAAACATAAAATCCAACGACCAATAGAAATTTAGTAAGTATGTGTTTATTTGTCTATGCTAATAAATCCTAAAAATAAATTTCATAATTATTTAAATTATACGTAATGTAACAGAATACAATAAAGTAATAGTTAAATAATAATGTACATTTGTTTAAACATTGCATAACTTGTCAGATGTATTACCATTTTTATTACATATAAAAATTTCTATCTCATACTCACGCGATTATTAGGTTATGTATGGGAGGAGTATAATCTGTATAACTTATCCATTGATACAATAGGCGCATAAGAAGAATAGTATTTCTCTATTAAACTTGTAGTTCATATTTTGTCCATATTTGTCGCTGAGATCGCATATTCCGACTGTTCCCGGAATATCTATTGAGCTTGTAAACTTCTGGTTACATTTCAAGAAAGTATAGCAGAGGTATGATCTAATCGTCCTATCGACGGCCATTTTTTAGTTATCTTGGGTAAAGTATTACCTGTAAGTCGTCGATTTTTAATATTATTTTAGAAATTTATTTTAGAGTTTTCCTAAATGACATTAAATTTATATTAGGAAAGATTTTCATTAATTAAGAATTCTAAATATTCTATATGTTCTTTTCATTTTAACAATTATTTAGATGTTAGATAACTCCTTGCATATACATTCATACAAGATTACTTGTTTTCAAAATTTATCAGATATCCATTTAAAATCGTAAGAAAGTATGGAAAACTCTTTAAAAATTTTTTTAAATTATATACTTTTTACTTCGACAATTTGTTCAATAGTATGTAGTATATAACAAAATTGCATATACATATGTCTGTACGTATTTTTTTGACATTTGTACTTTTTCAACAAAAAATATTTATTAAATAACCAATCTTTATTGAAGATTACATCAATTTTTTAAATTGCTTATAAAATAATTTTAGGTGCAGCATATTTTACTTTTTTATTAAAATCATTGTAAACAATTTTTATTATAGTAAATAGTATATGATAATAGGAGTATATAATAAGGATTTTATTAATTAATATATATTAAATTTTATATCATGATAATGAAAAAGATATAAAATTTTTATGTTTTCAATAATGTTATAGCACAAGATGAATAACCTAATGAACAATCGTGCTATTCTAACTTGTTTGCATCAAGGAAGCAAGAATATTGTGAGGAAATCACATTATCCATTAAATACTATTGGTAACAGAGATATCGTTGGTTCTGGATTTAATAATACACCGTCATACATGGATCGTACAGATTTTCCAATGCCTGCAGTTCGTTTTAAAGCTAATACTCCTGATGTGCTGGTATTTATATTTATTAATTAAAATAACTTGGAAAAAAAAAAAGTAAGTACTTTATTGAAAGTTTTATATATTTACATTATTCATATAGGCTTTAAGAGAAAAAGAAAAAGGAGATTGGAAAAAACTTTCAATAGATGAAAAAAAGGCATTATATCGTGCCAGTTTTTGCTCTACATTTGCAGAAATGGAAGCACCTACAGGAGAGTGGAAACTTTGTTTAGGATATTCATTATTGATTTCATGTGCTGCTGTTTGGTATTACATGTTCTATAAAATATATGGTAAAATTTTATATATATATATATATGTATATATATATACTTTACACATATTCTTAATATATTTATATTATTAATAATAGTGACTGTGTATGTGTGTATTTTGGCCAAGATAAAAGTTTATCTTTTATTTCAGTACTCCCACCTCTACCAGATTCATTCGAAGAGGATAATCAACTTGCTATGTTAGACCGAATAATAAAACTTGATATGAATCCCATAACAGGAATTTCTGCAAAATATAATAAGTAATATATATGTTATACTAGGACAAGTAGATGAAAATATAATTGTACAGTATCTTAATATGAACGTTCCGTGTACAAATTGTCTGAGGAAGTTCAAATAAATACTTTAAGATTACAATTTCTGCCTCTATATTAATATAAAATTAATTAGAATTCTATATATATATATAAGGTTTTTTATGATACTAATTTAAATCTGCAGATAAATAATAATAATAAAGACATATGTAGTATTTGAAATATTGCTCTTTTCTAGTTTATTCTTTAATAGTTTCAATAGACAATAAATTCTAAGAGATCTTGAAAGAAGAATTACATGGTTAAGAATTTAGTAAAAAGTATTTAAATTAAAACATTTTTAATAAACAATTAATATTTTAATTGAATTCATCCACAGCGTACAACATAATTTACTCATGAATGTAATTAAATGATAATAAAATACTGAATGAACAGCATATATTTTAAAGAAAAACAAACTTTAATATTACCGATTATTCAACTTTTATGAACATAAATGACTATGAGATAAGATTTTGTATGAATACAAAAATTTTTTATATAAAAAAGTAATTTATTTCTAATATTTTAGCACCTAATTGTATGCTGTAAAATGGACAATTTATAAAATTTTGAATTGATCAGAACTTATTGAATACTGGAATGTCACTGTCAGTATTAAAATAAATACAGAGCAATTCCCAAGCATAATCATTTTAAAATTATATCAAGGCCTTCTCGCATATTGTCAGAAGATTATATTGTATAGAATTTTTCACAAAATGCAGTGTCATATATAACTGATTGATCTGTTTTTGTGTGGTGCTGACATATACCGTCTTTTTATTGAAGAGTAATACAATATTGTTGGGGGGATATAAAAGATATCAAACATTGTTAAGAAATCAGACAAGCTGTATACAAAATAAATACATCTGCAAAAATTGCGTTTTCAAGAAAATACTACAAAAATTGAAAGCAGATTGCTATAATAGTTATGCACATTTTTTTTTTTCATTATTTTGATAAAAATTTTTTTTTATCCATTTACGAACCTATGATTTCAATAAAATCCAAAAAATATACTAAATTATTATTATCAGAATTATATTACAAAAAGAAGTTCTTTTTTTTTTCATGAATGTGGCTCTCACATGCATATTAAATATTACTGTGATAATATTACTGTAACAAACACTATTTTTTAGGTACATACAAAATAAAAAAGTTTAGTAGATAACTGTTAGACTTATTTTTCTATGTTTGATTATGTATATTACAATATTTACATTAGGTAAGTCCCAATATCACCATTTTTTTTTCTCTCACCCTCTTATTATAAGAATATAGTTTCATATAGAAAACTAAGTCTTTATCATAACTACAAGAGCAAGTTTTACAGTTTTGTGAAATTCTTAAGAAAAATGTACCGCAACTAATACTCAGAAATATCAATCGTATTATATATAAATGTATTACAATGAGTTTTTATCTGGGTATGAACACAATTGCTATTCAAAGGTGGCAATAAGTGTGTAATGCTAAAAACAATATTTAACAAAATATTGTTACATTTTTTCCTTACTTTATGTGCAATATGTGCATTAATGCAAACAAAATTTAACCTAGCCTAATTTGAATTATATTACAATTCTGTACGCGCGTCTTTGGTACACAAGCTCTCGTACAGAGTGAAATATATTCTTGGAAAATGAAAAATATAGCTACTTCAGGGGTATCTTTTGTACTGTCAAGAATAATATCGTATTCGAATTGCAAATGCTTAATTGTAAATATTAACCCCTTCTGCAGACTGAATGGAGAAAACTTACAAGGATGATGTCGCGACAGAATGATTTAGTTAATATGTGACAAAAATGATTTGCTGTCGCTTTATCACACGATCATAATATTAAACTCGTGTCTTAAGTGATATTTTAACATTGTTCAAAATTACTTTGCACAATTCATCACCGTACACAATCTCCAGGACCACGCTGTGTGTGTGTTACGCATTGTTTCTTTCTCTTCAATGTGTGTGGTCTTGAATTTGGACTGTGACTAGTGCTATTGTTATGACTACCATTACTGTGAAGATTATGTTTTATTTTATTTTGTCCACCTATATTATTATTTATTCCACGATAATTTCCTCTAGAACTGTGCTGATGATTTACTGTGAAAAATAATATTTTTATATAATGAATAATTGTATATACTAGAGATTTATCATTATTTCTTTTTACACATAACGAGTTCACATACAGTGAGTAGTTGTTTTAAAAGGTTTCTTCCATTGAGAATGATGATGAGGTTGTTGATTGTTAAATACATGCCGCTCTTTAGCATTTTCTTCTCCTTTTCCACCTGTATTTGGTGAATTTCCACGGCTACATTCTGAATCCTTCAAAATAAAAAACAAAACGATTATTATATGTTAATCGTGAACTTATTATTATATTTCATATAATATAAGGGAAATGTTATTTTTTACGATAAATCAACAAATTTACCGTGTCACTAGCTGGTGCTGAGAGAGTGGATGCATCAGATCCAGTTGAGCTAGACAGAGAGTCCACTTCACTCAGTGGTACTGGGAATGTTTCTTTAATCCATCTACGATACTCTATTACCTCATCTGTCACACGAATTATTCTTCCCAATATACTGCATGTACAATAAAGATAATTTTGTTTAAAAAATTATATAACAATTTTTAATTTTTCACAGACAAAATAAATGTAATAGAGAGTTATATATAACCTCTATAATGATCTAATTCAACCTTACCTTACTTTATTTGCATCATTAACTAGAATATTTAAAGGACTGACTGCTTGAGAAAGAACATAATACGCCCAATCGAATGCATCTTTTACATACAGAGCACCATAACTACTACGACCTATATCGTTACCAGGTGTAAGTGGATCTTCTATGCATAACAAAGAAGGTCGATGTCCATCTATCATGTCTCGTTGAACCTATAATTTAATAAGAAAAAAAAAGAAAAAAAAAAAAAAAAAAAAAAAAAAAAGAAAAAAAAGAAAAAAAAAGAAAAAAAAGAAAAAAAGAAAAAAGAAAAAAAGAAAAAAAAAGCATTCAAAAATATTCCCACATAGGTAAGATCATAAGATATATTATAATATGTAAATAATCAATAGACAAAAATATTTATTGATGATGAGTGATTTGAGATTTAATTTCTGCTGATATAATATATTACTTTTCATTGATATGTAGTTTTTCTATTGGAGTGGAAACATTATTAATATACATTACCTCTTCTTTAGATATGTAAGTACCACCATCTTTTACTCGAATGCCTGTTTTTACATAATTGAATTTCCTACCATAGAGTTCCAAAAATTCAATCAATAATACTCCCAAATTAGCACTTGAACAATAAGCATTTTGTCTAGGATGTAACTAAAAAAGTATTCATTTCTTTATAGTATACATTCTTCATTATATATACCCTTAAATTCATTACACAAGTAATGAATCATACAAATAATGAATTTAGTTAAAGCTAATGTTATAATATATAAAGAGTTACTTAATTTATTAAAACTTACTTGCAGAAAACTGATGGTCATAAGTATTAAACTGTATGAAGAAATGCCACCAGTAAATACTTCATTAAGATCTCTTTGTAATAAAAATTGTTTCAGTACCATAACAAGCTTTTCTAATACAGGAAACCGTCTTTTAAAAGAATTTATCAATTCTGCTGATTTTACACCATTATTCATATTAAAACTAATGTCTATTTTAATTTCTGTCTCTTTATCGGTAAGTTTGACAATTGGAACACTGGCCTTATCCAAAACTTTTAAAGAAGATGGTTCAGCGATATTTTGATCTAATAAAGCACGTTCCAATGTACGTAGTGGAAGATTTGTCCACATTCCAATTACAACTAAATCTATGTCACTGTAAAAATTATTGTTTTTAAACAAATTATGATTATTGCCAATATATCAGAAACAAGAAAGAACACGTACAATGATATTCAATATACGTTTATGTGTATTTCAATTCAAATAATAGATGCAAAAGAAATATAGAGATATTATATTTTCACAATTAATAGATTAAAGAAGATCAATTATAAAAATTCTATTATAATACATACCTAGTGGGTAAATATAGACCAGTACGAAAACTTCCAAATACTTCAACTTTCGAATCCGGCCAAAGATCATATATTACTTGTTCTATACGTTTAACCACTCGTACTCTTAAATTATGTTCTTCATTGGATGGACACATATATGAAAAGAAATCTTCTATTTCTTCGTGTAACCTAAGTAAGAAAATATTATTTGCACGTTTTATGCAATGTTAAGATATTCATTCTCTTTGCTAACGTATTATTTTTTATAACATATATTATTATGAAAATGATATGTTTGATATAATATCAATAATATATCTGTTTTTGTGTTTTGTTATCACTATAAAAAAATTCAATGCACATTACCCTTTTATGAATGTCTTTAAATATTTACAAATAATGTAACATGCAATATTCTCTTTATATGTATATATATATATATATATATATATATATATTTATATTTCAAATTATATATATATATATTTATATTTCAAATTATATATTATATATTAATTATTTACTTATTATCATTACCTGTTAAAATACAGATACAAATGTTAGTGAAATATCAATGTTATACATATATCACTTTTCCATTGTATGAGAGCATAAAAAATTGTATAACAAAATTTTTGCAGAAAATAATTTAGTAAGAATTTTTTGGTTAAATAAATGATCATGTCAAAAATGGAGCTGTAATGAATAATCATGGGTAAAGAAAAAAAGAATATTAAATTTTAGAAAAGCCTATGTCATTCAAGTCAATTATTTTGACTAATAATTAATTCCAGATTCCATAAATATTCTATTATGTAACTATATATTCTATAAGAGACATGGTCTACGACTTATTAACAGAGCTAATTCTTTTTTATTCTAATAAATAAACAGTAAAGTATAGCATTTGTTCTCGAAGTAGGAAATCGATCGATCGTTGGTCGTACCTCTCCAGTCATACTGTGATTTTTTCAAGGAAGTAGGAATAATTTTGTAATATCGAACCAGTAAAGTAGAATGGCAATGTACCTAACCTTATAATGCCCATATGGACAAAGCGTATATCTCCGTATATGGATATCGTAGAAATAATATAATAAATAAGGGTTAGAAGGCTTAGGTGATAGAGTGCTCACCCAATAACTCCTTTAGAATAATGTTTATTAGGCACACGCCACGGGCATCCACCGTATTCTCCGACCAAGGCATCATAATTGTAGTTCATGCCGTAGGTACTAGCACGATTATCACCTTTCCTACGTGATGGGTTATAATAACTATTGCAAGTATTTTGCTGACCACGATCTCCCGTACGATTATTCACCGAGTCGAAAGCTATAAAATCCTGTTGCATTTTAACGCCCATCACATTCGACGACGAATCGTTCTTCAGGGTTAAGATATCGAGACCTTTCTCAGCTTCCCAAATGTGTAACCATAAGTCCTTAGCAGGGCCGAACTGCTCCGGTTGATACCAACCGATAGTCGGATCCATTAAACAGTTATGGATTCCGTATCCGGCGATTAATCGTTTTCGCACACTACACTACGATTCCAATCTTAAGTCAACTTTAATTGAAAAATTATCTGCTTTATTGTAACCTGCGAACACCACGAAATTCATACATACAGCCGATGAACGCAAACAAACTACGGAGAGGTTCATGTCGATGTACTGCTTTGAGAATGGGAGTAGTCCGAGGGCCATAATATCAGATGGCGCTCAATTCAAAAACCTTCCATCATTTTGCACCTTTTTTCTTTTTTTCTTTCTTTTTTTTTTTTTTTTTTACAATATTAATCTAATCCACCATACATCCTATTTTTTTTTTTCACTTCTAATTATATATTTTCAATCGTCAAATTTACATAAGAAAATCTGAATTCAAATGTGATTGGAAAAAATATCTTTCAAAGATACCCCATAGAATTCTCTTTACACCATAATTCGTTCCAATTCAAACTTATCTTTGTAATATAATATTGTCGTTAGGTTTAAAAAAAAAAAAAAAAAAAAAAGAGAAAAAAAAAGCAAAATTCAATACATGCGAACTCTTTTACGAGGCAACATTTTCTATTATTTTATTGTGCTAAAAGAAGAAAATATGTCAAATATGAACAATTGATTTTATCTAAATTTCTTAATTGATGACGTTGGGTCAGGGTTGTCAATAAATCATTGTTATGTCTCAGAATAAAAGGGTATGTAATAAAGCAGAGAAATTTTAGAAAAAATATTCTATTCTAAAAATGACGCTTTTCAAGATTTTTTATAATTGAGAATGCAACAATTCAATAAAAGTTTCCCCTTTTTGGTCGATCTACTTTCAACGATTCTACCTGAAATGGAGGGTTGTAAAACGTTCTATTTCCCTAGTTCTTATGAGAATCTCGAATTTCTAACACTCTCGAACGATGTATAAAACAGAGTGTTCTCACCATTTTTAGATGATGGAAAAAGCGTGGAAGAAGAGAACGTTCGATCTGCCTCGACGGAATTTTCTCGTACTATGAAAACTTCGAACGAGTATGCGAATCATCAATGTCTTTTCCTTTGGATCCTTTTTATAAGAAATATTTTCAATGAACTCTTAAACATTATGTTACTCTGATATTAGAATTTCCGTAGTTAGATGATATGCATTCACAGATTAATATCATTTAATATCAAAATTATCTAGACGAAGAAGTTTAATCTTAGAATAATAACATATAAGATAAGAAAAATAATAGGCATTTATATTGAGAGAGTATTTTATCAATAAATTACTAGATGTCACTACTAGCGAAATGAATTATTTCTTTTTTCTTTTTTTTTTCTTGTTTATATTCTAATTATACGTATTCTTTTTCCTTTTAGAATAACTAAAATTTTTATATCTTTCAAATGGTACATATGCAAAATGCATGTCTCATAAAGTGTAAGAAAAATGTCAATGCTCTTTTTTGTTATGGGACTCTAAAAATGTTTTATTTACATAGTCCCCTTTGTTTCCATTTACTATACCATATGCAAATGGTTTTCTATATCTGTCTAAGTTATTTATTATCTATGGTAGATCGTGGATAAAAGTTACGTTCGATGGACAAATAAACTGTAATAATTAGAGAGAACTAGAAGAAACGCGGTCGATTATGTGTGAATATGAGTTTTACCATTCGTAGCATAATTTAATATGGCGGCTTTGGTAATACTGCTGTTGGGACCAAATGACCACGCGTCTCGTTGAATTGTCGTGCCTTGAACTACGTTCGTTCGAAGTGCCTTTTTCTTCCCGTGATTTTTTACGCTTTTTGTTAATTTAGAGTATAGATATATTTAATTGGTAGAATTTTAAGAGATATCCCCGTGGTGTTCGTGTTCCTCGATAATTGTTCCTGTGAAAAAGAGAAAACGGTAAGTATATGTATATCTTTGACATAGGAAAGAATGGTGTTGCTTAGTCGTTTCATGGATTGTCACGGGTGAATCACACCTCCTTGAGCTCGTACGCGCATAAACGAAGTTTAATTGATATTAAGAGGGGACAATTATCAAGGATCTGGAACTGTGAGCAGCTTCAACCGCTTCTCCGACAGTTCGCCGTTTGCCGACTACCGTAACGTGGATATTTACTAGCTTTCAAAATTTCTATTTTTATCCCTTGTGTTCCCGGTTTATCTACGTTGTTTCCGTTTCATCTCCAGCGTCTCTAATAGTGATATTTTACGATAATACATTGTGTTATTTCATTCGTCAATAAGAATAAGATTTAGGATCATTTTATTTTTATCATTTTAGTTATTTTTTTTATCATTTTAAACTTTTATCTTAATGCGCGATTATATTTTAAGATTTCACTTGAAAAATCAGATAAACAGTCGTTGAAAGTGTTTTTCTTTTTCTTTTTTTTTTTTTTTTTTACCTTTTTCTGATCTATCATAAATTCTTATTTCAAAATTAGATATCAATGATACTAAAGTTTTTAAGAGCAAACGATACCTATTGTTGGAGATGTGATGGAGTTTGTTACATAATTACATGTTGTCCTACATTTTGACATTGACATGCTTTTGTAATAGATTTTGATATAACTATGTCAAATTGATACTGTGGGTTAAAAAAGTATTATAATATCAATGTGATCATGATACCGAACAGATTGTCTGATAGTGGACAGAGTAATATGACAACAAGCACTCAATTTGTGTTATATTTACATAAAACAAGAAGAACTGATGTATCTTTTTTTAATTCATATTACTTTTTCAATATGACACTTGGTCGTGTTTTTAAGGGTGAGTCGTTTGTCAATGTTTTATCTTTGTGACAAACACATAATTTGGGAATATGCTAATACTTAGATAGTTGATACTTAGATAGCTAGTAATAATATTATTATGCTAGATAGAATATATTGTACAATGATGTTAAGTCAAAAAGTTGAAAGAGTATATTTACTGAATATTTATTTTACTTTTTTCTTTTTTAGGTAAGGGACAACCTAAAGGGCAAGCAAGAATGCCTGCGGAGATGGACATACGCGTCAAAGTTATATATAATGGGTAATGAGCAATTTTGTATTATAACATGCTGTAACAGAATAAATCTAGCTTATGCTAGGTTTTATTTATTGCTATCAATACCCGATATTGCTGTCCTATATGATTTACTTTTTTTTTCTATTTTTTTTTTCTTTTTTCTTTTTCCAAACAAACGGTCTTTTTATTACTATCATTAATAATCTATCTTTGTTCTGGAAAAGAATTCTATTATTCCTTTTTTCTTTTTTTCAAAGGATCATCAAGACGTCTTGTTGGTTATTTTGAAACAACATATATATATATATATGTATATATATGTTGAATATTCTAAATGAAATATTGAAATTCCACCTTTTTTCGTTATTACTTCATACATTTAATCACAATATCAAAATATTTAATTAAAATATGAAATTATTCGTCTTAGATGAATGAATGAAAATAGTAATCTAAGTAAGACGTAAAAGGATATCGAACCTTAGATTAAAAATTTAAGAGAAGTTAATTTCGATTTAAGAGACATTCGTTATCGTTCATTTTCGCTTTGCAAACGTTAATGCTTGGTCGTAATGGTTGTTCAATGACAATTATCCACTCGGCGTTGCCAAGTTGATTCAACGCGCGAGTCTTGTACAGTGTGGCAAATCTATGTAGCGCTAATAGCACGTCCTGGATTTGCTCTCACATGGTTGCGGTATTATCGCTTAACGGGCCGAGAGTATGTATGAGAGATATTGTCATTTCTTTTTTTGGCACGGTTATTGGTAAAACAGAAAATACAAAAAAAAAAGAAAAAAAAGAAAAAAGAGGAAAAGAAAATACGACAAGCACTTTTTCATCGATCAATGTATCCGTACATGCTATTGACGTTATAATTCACTCATTCACATTGAAACATTGATACCAGTTAGAAAAAAAAGAACCAAATATTTTATACATATTCGAAAATACAGGAACAATTTGAAATCCACTTTATGAGCACGCATTTCAGATGCGATCTCTCGCGATAAATATTATCAGGTTATTTTTTTCTTTTTTTTTTTTTTTCTTTTTTTTTTTTTTCTTTTTTTCCTTTTTATTTAATCGTTCGAACACTATATTTCTCTCGTGCTAATATTAGAGAAACGAGGAACGTACATTTATCTTCGTGACATACTAAACATACTAAACGAATAGAAAGAGTATACGCGTGCTCGATGATGATCGCTCATTCGTTACGCTTTGTCTTTTTTTTTTTGGTTTAGTAGATAGTTAGTGTTTGAAAATGTGAGACGCGCGGAAATGAAAGCACCCCATCAGAGAGGATGTTACGAGAGATTTGTAAAGAATCTAAACGGTGATTATAAAGAAAGAGAGGAATGGAAGAGGAAGAGGAGAGTGAGGTGATGGAGAGGCAGGGTGGCGGGCTGGGAAGGGAACGTGGATGTTCGTCGGTAAGGGACAACAATAGATTTCGACGATTGGTTAGAACGATAAATGAAAATGGATGGGAGGAATATAGAGAGATCCCCGTACGTCGATGGACGTATTTACGATTATGTGTTTAGAATTCGAAAAATATTTTTTTTTTATCCGACATTTCGTATAAGAGCCCAATTTTATATCAGGGAGGTCCAAATTACATACGTGACGGCCGGGATCTCGGTGGATACGTTGCGGGAGGAGATGAGAGCGATATGCGGGTTCGGTGGCGCAGGGCCAGGTTCAGGGCCGGACCAACAATTCACCATGAAGTGGGTCGATGACGAGGGGGATCCTTGCAGAATCGCGTCGCAGGAAGAATTAGACGAAGCGCTGCGACTGTACGAACTAGAAAAGGACACGGAAATAACGATACACGGTCAGTATCATCACAGCTCTGTCTCTTAATATCTTCATCAATGAGATGACGCGATGATTATTTAATTGTTTATCTTCATTGAAATTTATATAACGAAAAGAGAGAAAAATAGAAACGAACGAATCGAAAGTATATATATATGTACATATATATATATATATGAGAACGATAATATGATTTATCTCTCTATCTCTCTCTCGCGCGCGCGTCGGCGAAATACTCGAATGAAGTTTGCCACGAAGCAACCTCGTCGCTCCTTCTGTTCGGGAAATATATATATATATATATATATATATATATATATGTATATATATATGTGTGTATCATTATTACAAGGGAATATATAGGTGGTAGATATTCTTGCTTTTAATGGGTTTCGCGCGTTTATTTCGTCAGCGTAGAAAATAAATGACTCAAACTTTCGAATTATTCTCTCATATTTTCGATGAATATTCGACTGCCTTTTTTCTTTTGAAATGGCTACATTCCTTTTTTCCCCTCTCTCTTTCTCTCTCTCTCTTTCTCTCTCTCCTCTCTGTCTTTCTCTTTCTGTCTGTCTTTTTTTTTTTCTTTCGAAGAAAGTATATTACCTAACTAAGCGAGTATCTAAGTACATATGTTGCTAAAGCGTAAATATTGTAAATTGACAATGTTTTGTTTCTTTCTTTCTTTCTTTCTCCTTTTCTTTTTTTTCCTTTCTTTCTTTTTTTTTCTTTCTTTCTTTTTTTTTTCCTTCATGCTGTTTGAAATCGTCAAAAGTTTAATTACAATAGTTTCTCTTGATCTAGATCGCTCGATCTAACGATCGTTGAGGTCGATATTTTTTCCTTTTCTTTTTCAAAGAACTTAGTATAAAATATTTGTTTTGAATGGCATTTAAATGCGCTTTTGTCGGTATAAATACAGGTCAGTACACTTTGCTCAGTTGCTCGATGTATCGTGTAAATGTAGGATCGTCTAACTAGAGAACCTAACACCTCGTTGTCACGCGTGTTTCGCTAAGAGAAATGCATTAGAACGTTAAACAATGTTTACGCGTGTTTAAACGGTGTTAAAAGTCAAGCTTGCGAAGTGTAAAAGCAGAGTTCATGGAATTATTTGAGAAAACTCATTTTGCTTACATTATTGCAAAAAGCAATAATGTCTTTTCCTATTAAAGATTCGATATTTAAATATATAATATCATTAGGATGTTAATCGATTTAGATTTGAAAGTTTATGAGCATGTAGGTCAGACAATAAAGTATTAAATATTCAAACCAAACAATTTTGAAAATAGTAATTGGAATAACATCTTTTCAACCATTCTTCTAACGTTCTATTCTACGTGAATACGTAGTACTCTAGTTGTTTTCACGAACGAGGAATCCCAAATCTAGGTATTAATACCTATCCCTATTGTTTTACCGTGTCGAAAAGGACAAAGGAGATATCGAACAGTCACGATTTGGATCACTACTTTTAGTAGAGATACCTTTTATACTTGGATCAAAGAACCCGGTTATTAACATAGAATAACCAAAACTCGATATCCCTAAATTGTTCAAAATATCATATTAATCGGTCTATGAACAAATTACATAAATCTGAAAATAGTTCTTCCGTGTAGAATGTGTCGAATTACCAAAGAACGAATTTCAAAAATCAATTTATCTGAATTAATAACTAATTCATCACTTTATACGAATAATTTAAGACACTCGAATTGTTTTCGCAAAGTTAGAATTGCGATATATTAGCTTTGATTCCTATAACATGAATCTTTCAGTAAGATTTAGATGAGTGAGAAGAAGGTGTCCTAGGAGCGCAGCATCCTGCGCAGAGATTCTTTAGTGTCCTGTCAGCTTCTTACTCTCTCTTGCTCCACACCCGTGGTAGCGACAGGCGTGTTTCTTGATAGTCGAGGAAAAGTAAGGAGCTAGGAAGAGAACATAGACAAGAGTACTTTCCTTCTAGTTTTGTCTTCGTTCTTCTTACGTTGCTTGTTGTCCTGTTTCTTCTTGCATCGTCAAAGTTGGCCAGTGTTAGTAGAAGAACGGCGTTAGGAAAAGTAGTAAAGGTACTGGCAGAAGGGTAGGACAGTTCGCGTTAAACCTAAAGAGGGTGTAGATATAGGAGGAAGAGGAAGAGGAGGAGGAGAAGGAGGAGTTGGAGAAGGTGGTGGAGGTGGAGGAGAGAAACGAGGGAGCGCCCACCACCGGCGTCCTCGAGTTTGCGCGTTTCGCTTCGGTCGGTAGCGCGCGCCGAGCGACGCTGCCAGTTAACGCATCCTGCCGTGGCAGTCGATATCCTCGTACGGACCGATCAGCAAGGCGACGATCATCGTTAGAGTTCAGACAGAGAAGAGGAGTGACGAGAAGAGTCACCGTGAGTCTTTATGTATCGCGAGAGATTTGTGTAATAAGGAAAAAGAAGAGGAAGAAAAGGAGAAGGTAGAACGAACGGAATAATCATTGTTTTTCCCCTGTTGACGACTTGCCCGTTTGTAATCCCATCGTCTACTGATTCTGTGCGTTCGGTAGGTGTCTAAAGAAGACTGAAAGGAAGGAAGTTGAAAGAGAGAGGTCGCAAAAGAGGCGGTAAACGTACATCGATCGAGGCAGCGATTCGTCGCACGCTCATCCGGATTCCTGTGAAAGAGAGAGAAGGAAAGAGCGAGAGAAAGTGCGAGACGCATCAAAAGGGAGGGGAAGACAGAGAGAGAGAGAGAGAGAGAGAGAGAGAGAGAGAGAGAGAGAGAGAGAGAAGAGAGAGAGAGAGAGAGAGAGAGAGAGAGAGAGAGAGAGAGAAAGAGAGAGAGAGAGAGAGAGGAAGAGAGAGAGAGAGAGAGAGGAAGGGTAGGGAGGGAGTTTGGCGTTGCCAGCGGAAAGAGGCAAGGCAGGATAGAGGAAGGTCACGCGCCGGCACGGCTGGAGTCGGTGCGAAATGGCTTGGGGCTACTGGAGCGCGACTTCCGTCAGCGATCGAAGTCGGTCGCCACGTCGAGAAAAGGACAAACAACAGCAGCAGCAGCAGCAACAACAGCAACATCAAACGTTGCATCAACAGCAGCAACAACAACAATATCAGGAAGTGCCACAGGGTGGCTATGGGGTTCAGCAGTTGCAGGTCGAGTCTGCTGCCCCTATTGGCAGCGGAGGCCTAGCACCGGAGGAACCACCCCGTGGCACGATGATCCAGGCTGGTTCCTTCTATTCGTATACCGCAGCAACAACGGCAGCCGCTGCGGCGGCCGCAGCCGCAGCCGCAGCCGCGGCTGGACGTCGAATCGGTGCTTCGGTCGAAGGTCCTTCCTCTTCCTCCTCGAGCGGCATACAAATTTTACCGAGAGAACGACACATCGTCAAACCTCCACCGGTTGGGAATTATCCACCTTCACCTGGTAGCGACTCCGGAGATTATGAGCAAACACCGCTCGGTGGTGGTATCGGTGGTTCTCGAGCAACCGAGTGCTCGCCACCGCCCCTACCTCATGCAGCCAGTCCACTCGGCATTGTCGCTGCTGGCCTTGGTCCTGGTGCCGACATCCTGGCACAACCATGCTCCTCCTCCAGGATGAAACTACTTGCCGATGAAACGGCCGAGGAATTTTCGGACGTCGACTCAGCCGGTCCTGAGATTATCTACGCGAGCAATGGCCGTGGTATCGGCACCACTGGCTGCCTATTGCACGGTCCCTGCGCTGCTAATCCACCGCCGGAACCCGCGCCTCCTATACCCCCTCTCCTGGACGAACACACCTCGGCACCCTCGCACATTTGGTTCAACGAAATCACCTGGGGTAGGTCTTTCCACGACTCGTCTTCTTTTTATTCTTATTGTCATTCTTATTTATCTTCTCTCTTGCCCCTTCTCTCATCGAGCTCGTATTCAACGTTACGTGGAAGTTATTTATCGATTGAACATCTATCAAGTCCCTCGTTTAGAATTCTCCTAACCAAGTTTCTTTTCTTAAGTGTAATATTCATTAGAGAACACGCTGTCTTTTTTCGCGGTATCATTCCGGTTTAACGAACCTAATATGTACCTAATATAAACCTTTATAAACATGCAACTTTGTGCAACCACCGAGGCGCCACCACCCTCTTTCTATATCTAAAGGACAACCTACCTACCAATACTTACAGCCTTTACTCTTTCTATTTTAGCCCTTTGTCGTGCGATACCAATCGATTTCGTACGAACAAATGTGTGATATTTTAATTATTACTTTTTCTCACTCTACTGTCAAGAATACGATTAAAGGAAAAATCAATTCTGTCGTTTTAATTCGTATTAGATTTGCGAAAACAAGAGAGAGAGAAATTAATCTATATATTTGGTTATGTTACCGACTGGTATGTTTCATTTTTTAATAATCTCGATTCAAAAATTTGCAGCATTCTATAGATTTTAAATGAATTCCGGGTAGAGTTATGAAGATTGTATTATTCTATTTAAAAATTTTTAGATTATTATATATTTGAAGAGAGAATCTATAGACTGCATCAAACTTTTGTCCACGAGGATATATAAATATAAAATCTTATAGATTATGCCTGTGGAAAGTTAAAGTTGTAAAAAGAACATCCATGGAATTTTTAATACCTATTGTACATTATAAATGCATATATACCGGGGGTGAATATTAATGAGAATTGAAGATAAGGTAAGTGTTTCAAGGGTTTATGAATCAAGTCGACGTTTTGGGTTGATATTTAGAAAAAACAAAAAAAAAAAAAGAAAGAAAAAAAAAAAAAGAATTTTCTTACCATCTGTGAATAAGTCATTCGAATTGAACATTAATGCACGAAACGTTAAGAGTTAATCACGTTGGCGATGCTTTCAACGTCGTCAGAAAGTAATTCGGTTTTGGTCTTTGATGCGCCGTTGCTTCCTGCGAGGCCATCGTAGGACCATTTTCAAAGCTCGTTTATCACCTCGCGGCATGCTCAAAGAGACGCGAATTTATGCGAGCAATTGCAAAGCTAATGCTTGCTCGTTAAAGTCCACGTTTTTTCTTTCTCTTTTTCTCTCTCTCTCTCTCTCTCTCTCTCTCTCTCTCTCTTTCTCTCTCTCTTTCTTTATCTATCTCTCTCATTCGAACGAAGTGATCTACTCGTTTTTTTTTTCTTCATCGACATACTACTTTAAAAAAGCAGGAAATATTATTTCAATGATTTATCATTTGAAGGAACAAATTTTTTCGTGATCTAGTAAATTAAATCGTTACTTTGTCTCTGTAAATGCATGTGACATAATTTTTGCATTATTTTTCTTGTTATAATTTTTATTTTAATGAGACTGGTTTATTATTATTTTTCTTCAAAATTTTTAAAAATATGAATCATCTTTTATAAAGGATTAAAATGAACAAAATTTATACATACACATACACATAGCCTAGGACTATTTAAAGTGTTATGTATAAACCCTCTGTGTGTATGTATATATATATATATATATATTCGTGATCTTTCTCAACCATTGTCACGTCTAGACAGCATACGATATTTGAACTAAAATTCCCGACAAGTCTTACGAGTCCATTTTCGTTGAACAGTCATACTGACGCTGACTCAAAGGTTTTTGACGTTTTTAGAGCGCATAGGGGAGGAAAAACTTTGTTCTACAGAGAGCTTTCACCATCTTTTCCGCAGTTACCGTGAAGATTAAAGCAGCCTGTTCTCTTTTTTCTTTCTTTCTCTCTCTCTCTCTCCTCTCTCTCTCTTTCCATTTGTGCGGACGAATAAGTATAATATTTCCGCTTCAATCGATCTCCCACAAGTTGTTCAACGTAGTACCACCACCTAGGTGATCGCGTAATTGTTCAGACGCTTTAGCGTTACCTCGGTCCTTTTCTTGTGCATCGTAAAGAAAAGTGGAACTTTACAGTGTCGTTTGAACGGAACTTCGAGTTACGTCTTTCTCTATAACCCTCGTTTACGATACCACTATCTACCTACCTACCTACCTACCTACCAACCAAGCAAGCAAGCAAGCAAGCAACCAAGCAACCAAGCAACCAACGAACCAACCAACCTTCCTACCTGTCTTCCTACTTACCACCTACCTCCTATGTACATATCTCTTGAACTTACAGAACGTAAAAGCTTTTTCAAATCGTGTCACGTTGTTTACACTGCTCTTCTATTTGTGCAATAAAAAACAATAGTACGTTGATACATGTTTCTGACTTTGACTAAATTAACTAAAGAACTGATCAAATTTCTCCTTTATTTTTTTTTTTTTTTTTTTTTTTTCTTTCATTTTTGCAATCTCCTTTCTTTACTTTTCTGTCTTCTTATTTGTTTCTTTTTTTTTTTTTTCTTTTATTTTTAATTTTAATTTTAATTTTACTTTTAATTTCTATTTCGGCTTGGAAGAAATAAATTGGAAAATTTATCAATTTTTTTTTTTTTCTTATTTTTTCATATGTAATTTCTGTTCAAAAGCTTAACCAACATATTCACGTAATCTCTTCGAATGATAATACCATAATTATACCGGCCAGCGATGTTCTTTATAAAGATTTAATTGCTTTGCTTCCGCACTCTCGAGCACGCAAAGGAAGAAGAGGCCGATAGTTACGACAACGTGTATACCACACCTTTCTCGGCTATACGTATTTACGTCTGTCTCTTTTCTTCCTATTCGCGTTCTATTACAACGGTCGAACAACGACAGACTTAGGGATATACGTTCGTGTGTCCTAAATTGGTGAAACGATCGCGACGAAATTCGATAGGGTAGATAGATGAGAAGAAACTCCTTCTCCTTATCGCTTTTTCTCTGGCCTCCTTTATGTATTAATTTCGTAAGTGTGTGGGAAACATAGATAAAGATAGGTAGATAAATAGATAGATAGATGGATAGATAGATAGATAGATAGAGAGAGAAAGAGATAGAGAGAACCGATAGATGCACTCGTAATAATTTATGCGAACTTATCTAGCAAGAAAATAGTTGAATGCAATGAGAAGAGGAGAAATACAATCCCCTGGCAAAAAGTTTTCGATCAGAAATTAACTAAAAATAAACACACACATACACGTACACATTTATGCTTTATAATTATAAAATATTATTATTTATTGTTGAAATATGTTAATGGGAAAGTAAATGTGGATTTAATAGTGCAGCATAAGTATGAACGAAATACAATAGAAATTGATAAATATATAAAAATAGAATTGATTTATTATAGAAAAACAGTCCGTATTTAAATCAAATAGAAAACTTATGGGGTGAAAATTGAGGATATTAGTTGATGAATAAAAGCCGCGAAGTAAAGATGAAAAATTATAAGATTGTAAAAAATATGTCAGTCATAATCATACAAGGAAACATAACAAAATATTAATGAAATGTTTAGTCTTCATAAATACAAAATTAATAAATTAGATCGATTAATTTTTTCTCGGATTACCATTGATCAAAAACTTTTTTCCAGGCAACATTTCGTTCCTTCTTTTTTGTTTCCTTTTGATAATAATCAAGAATTTTTGTTATTTAATTTTTAATCATTTTATACTATAAAACACTTTTTGCTTTTCCATTAATATCTCAACAATAAATAATAATATACAATTATAAAACATAAAACATAAATCTATGTGTTTTTAGTTAATTTCGTAATTAATTCGTGTCTGATTGAATACTTTTTGTCAGGGATTGTAGGAGAAGGAGAAGGAGGAGAAGGAGGAAGTGGTGGTAATGGTGGTGATGGTGGTGGTGGTGGTATTGGTGGTGGTGGTGGTGGTGGTGACTAAGGTAAGTTATAGATATTGCCTTTGACGTCATCTGTTTGAAAAATTACGTCGAGTAACAGCTGTGTATGGCGGATAAATTTGGGAAAAAAAAGTCATACGTACGAAACGGCTTTTAATAAGGGAAAGAAAATAAAAAAGCTTGTTCGTGTGGGGGGATATAATCGTGATCGAGATCTATGTACGTATTTATTTCAAACTGATTGCGATGGTTGTGATTAAAATTCCGACGTATATTATTGTTGAGTGAGAAAAATCATAGTTGCATATTGCAATCTCAAGATCGTACATATGCATATATATATATATATATATATATATATATATATGCATATGCATGTACGTATCTATATTTATGTCGTTCTGTTTGACATATACGATTCTTTCATAGTAACGTAATCATTCGGATCTCATCTGTGTTTGGTCATACACGTGGGTGAGTGTTTCTCATGTTTCTCTCATCTAGATTTATATATACGTTTAAATCGCTTGTTTCATCCTTACGAGGTTTATGCAGTAATGAACATTTTTCTTTGAAATTTTTAATAATCCTTGATACGTCCATACCTTGCGAATTTTTCTGTCTTATCTTTTAATTAAAAATAAAAAACGTACGGTGTGTAACGTAAATAAGAAGAATAACGTAAAACAGTGCAAAGATTAATATTTATAATATTACGTAGTAATACGATTTTGATTCGTCCTTTGTATTCGACGTTCATGTAAATATAAAATACAATGCAACTTATTATATTCAATATTTTGGATATAATGGAAAGAGAAAGAGAATAAACCTTTGTAATTCCATTCAGATAGAACTTCTTAACCAGACTTTGTAACTTAGATTATATATAAGAAAGAAACATTTAATAAATAACATATATAAATATGTGAACGTGTTTCTCGGTTTGTTTGTTTTGATATATCTTTTCTTGTTGAAAATAACAAGAAAACACTTTGACTCAGCGAGCACGCAAATACATACGAGAGAGGATGATTGAGAGATAAACGAGACTGATGCTTTCACACAGAG